ATAGTTAGGACACAAATGCTTGTTAAACAGTTGTCACCCAGCGGTCTAATAACACATGTGGTGGATTCTTCACAAATGTTGGCCTAGAGGTGTCAGCAGAAATAATTATCAAGTATTCTCTGTAAAATTATGGGGTTGCACCGGGGTTCCTGAGATGTGCACGGAGATGCTAAGTTTTTCTGGTGAATTTGCAAACATATTGCAGGGTGGATCTGCGTTCAGAGGGCAGAGTATCCAGACATTTGACATCTGTGAGCTTGGATCCCAGCAGCTTAAGGTATTTGAGGTTTCCATGCTACATCTTGCCAAGTTCTTTCAACAATCCATGATTACTAAGTTAGATTTGGGATGGTTGCTCAGACGAAAAGACAATAGAAGAAAAAAATCAATGTGGAATAGGAAAAGAAGGTAGTGGCATCCAGGGATTCCCCGGTTTGAGAAGTGTTTCTGCTCTCCTAGTTTCCATGAATAAATAAGCCAGCTACTTCAAAAGACACGCAAGGGTGAAAGAGATGGCTCAGGATTTAAGAGCATTGGTTGCTCTTTAAGGGGACCTGGGTTCAGTTCCTAGCACCTACATGGTGGCTCACAAACATCTGTAACTCCATATCCAGGGGGATCTAATGCTATCTTCTGGACTTCTTAGGCATTGCACACATGTGGTGTACAGACATACATGCAGACAAAACACCTATATACATAAGATAAAAACCAAATATTTAAAGAAGGAAATGTTCTTATCATTTTGTTTAAATTTATGTGTATTATTTTTAAAAGCCAGTTAAGACACAAAAGCTTGTTAGACTTTTATTTTCCAGCTATCTAATAACACATGCATTACATTCTTTATGAATATTGACCTAGAAGTATCAGGAAAAATAATTACCAAGAGGCCTTAGTAGAGAAAACTGTGAAGGTTTGTGGCTTCCTCCTGTAGAGTAGAAGAAAAGCAATATCAGAGAGACCTGCATGGCTTTGCAGACTGTGTGAAGAATTCAAGCATCATTTTGTGGAATACATACAACTCCAGAAAAATCTCTCTACCTTCTCCCCTTTCCTCTTTACTTTCCTTCTCTACCCTCCTCCCTCCTTCTTCCCCTTCTCCACCCTTCTTCCCTTCCTCTCCCCCTTCCTTCCCTCCTCCTCCCCACTTCTCCCTCCTCACCTTTGCCTGTCTTAGGTATTTAGTTACAGTAACTTCCCTCCTTTCTCACTCCTTCCTTCTGTCTCTCTCACAAATACATTTTAAAAAAGCTCTATTATTCTTCTTGATCTACAAATAACCAAGAACTTCAATATATGCATGCTTGTGCAACTTCTTTTTACAAAACATGATCCTGTATTAGTATGTGGAAATTCCTGTTTATTTATTTCGGGAATAATAGATTCATTGTCATCTGCCCTGCAGTTTTATAGGCTGGTAAATTCTAGTCCCAGAGTCTTCCCAACTGACTTAAAACAAAATACACTTTAATGTTTTCTTTTCTTTCCACTTCTCTTCTTCCTCTCCTCTTCCTCCTTCTCTTCCTCTTCCTCCTCCTCCTTCTCCTCTTCCTCCTCTTCTTCTTCTTTAAAATCCATGCCTGGAAATCCACCCTCCCTCTCCCCTTTTTAAGGAAAGCCTGGGGCGAATGAGATGACTTAGGGGATTGCTGCCAAGCCTGGCAGCCTGAGTTTGATTCCTGGAATCCACAAGGTGGAAGGGGAGAATGGGTCCCCCCTGTGGTACACATGAGCATGTCTGCATGCACATACAGATGGGATAAAGAGGTAAGTAAACAAATAAATGTGAAATAATGTGAAAGCAGTCTTTAGAGTTGGAAGACCAGTCTTGACAAGATTTGGATGTTAGCTGTTGCAACTGAAAAAACAAAGAATAACAGGAAGATAAGTTATGGCGCTTCTGCCATGGGGTGGGGTCCAAAGATAAGATTTCAATTCATCTGGAGCCCAGGAACCAATGTTTCCGTGTACCTAGCAGTGTTCATGTTCTGTATGAACTTTTATCACTCCAAATAATGTATGTTTTCCAGTAGTGCCCCTTCCTGTGACTGGAACGCTTCTGTGCCATTCTGAGGAATCCCACCTCTCAGTAAACAAGAAGAAAAATGCTAAACTGCTCGAACAATGTCAACATTGCTTAGTACAATGCCAGGAAAAATAAATTGTGTAAAAGGACCACCGATCTTTCCAGTAACTTCTCAAAAGGTCCTTCCACCGAGAGATTGATTTTTTCCTTATGCTTCAGTTGCCTGTGCCTCCCAGATGTCTCTCTGTCTTAATTTAGGGTACATTTGTACAGACCATGAGTTTAAAACTCATTTTCTTTTGTTTAGCAGCCCACTGAAACACTTTCAGTATGCAAATGTGCACCCTGATAGGTTGGGCTGGCTTTTCTATTAGCTTGGGAGACAGACTGTCTCTTGTTAGTACAAATTGATTGAATTATGAAAAATTTCAAGATTCTAGCTCTAGAACTGCTCTACTTTGCCTGAGTGCTACTGTTTTTTCGTGATATCTTCCTCTTTTCCACATGTATACTCACTTCAATGTACCTCAACAATCTCCCTCTGAGCATGAAAAGATATATTTTTATGTATGTGTATGTATCTGCTAGTTTTTCCATTAGCGGCAGCATGCTAAACATCTTACTTGGCCCTTATTTTCCTTTTAGGTTAACATTATTACTTTTTTGAGATCATTTTATAATAATATAATCTTCCTTATTTCTCCAAATGGCTCCAGAGAGTTTCATTTCTCATAGGTAATTAGTCATATATTAATGTTAATGTAAAAGAATTGCCAGGCTATTTAAATATTATGAATATTTCTACTAACACAGCAGATGAAATTTTTTAGAAGTGGATTGTTGAGTTAGTTAGGAAATGCTTTTTTTTTTTCTTCCTATTGTTATGCTAGTGGTATGGTCTTGCTATGTAAACCTGGCTGCCTGGAATCTGCTACATAAACCAGATTAGCCACCATACCCAGTCTAGATAATACATTTCAAATATTGATAGATGTTAGTGAATTTCCCCAATCCACCTACCTACTATCATCACCAACATTGTTTATTAGTAGAATATTCTAACAAGTGTCATTCTATAGTTCAGATTCGTGTTACTTTCATAGAAAGTCAACTTGAGCATATTTTGTATGTTCAAAGCCACACTTCTTACTCTAGATTCAATGATAGACTATGATATGCATGCCTATCACATATACTGTGTGATTTGTTTATGAGTATAGGACACGATATAACCTTGACACACACTTGGGAGAGACTGACAAGAAACAGTTACTGTGGTCAAAGCTTAGCCTGATGGGAACCTGCTGATGCCCACTCAACACACTCTGGAAGTCATCAATGGAGGCTTCTGGATGAGATGGGTCTGTAAGCTAAGATCTAATGAAGGTGAAGGAGACAGTGTGGTGGATATTGGAGACAGATGAAGAGACAGCAGGCTCCAGTGGGCAGGGACGAGGATAAACAGAGCAGAGGGTAGGAGAGATTTGCACATAAGCCAGCTCTGAGTGAAGCCATGATGCAGTGAGGGGAAGTGGGCGTGTCCTCCACCATGCACTCGATGGCCCTGAAGGATCAACAAGGACAACGTGAACTTTACCCTAAGGATGACATTCCATTAGCAATATTTATAAGTGGAAGGTATGGCTACTGAGGAAGGTGATTCAGGAATTCAGGGTTGTTGGCATTTAATCTAGATGTTTGTGGATCTTGCCATAAAAGCAGCTAAGGGTCCCCTTCTGAAGACAGGGTACACTGTCCCAGAAAGATTAGCCTTGGTGTGAAGAAAGTCACTTGAAAGATGCTTGGGAAATACAAGTCTCTCTCTCTCTCTCTCTCTCTCTCTCTCTCTCTCTCTCTCTCTCTCTCCCTCTCTCTCGTGTGTGTGTGTGTGTGTGTGTGTATGTGTGTGAAGTGCTGATCCCCAACAGGTATTCTTTTTTTCCTTTCTCCCTGAAAATGTCCCTGCCCTGTCTTATATAATGATCTGTGAGGGGAATTGCACACCGTGAGAGCTGGACGAGGCTTGAGATACCTTTTCTCAACCTCGACATTTTAGGGCAAAAGAAAGGCCATCTTTTCCAGCACACATATCTACGTATGTAGTTCGGTTGCTCACACTTACTCTTGAGTATAGATCTTTCTCTCGTTTTCTGACAGCTGAGATTTCTTGAGTGAAAAAAAAACCCTCTAATTTAGAAAATGATCTGTCGTAAACACTTTATTGCCCGTCGTTCAAATCGCACAGATTTCAATAATCTTAGAAACAGAAACTGAGAGAGCAGTCATTAAATTCCTCCAGCGCAGTAGGTTTCAGCCTGTGGTGTCTGAACCGGCAGAAGCCCCTTCCTGGGCTAGCTCCTCCTCTCCTCCTCCTGGGAACCCACAGCTCGGGAACCCACAGAACGAGAGACACTCAGGTCCTCACTTCTGCTTCAGGGATGCTCTCAGCCATTTGCTTCACCGAGGATCCTGTGATCCGTTTCAATCTAATTAGCAGCTGTTTAGGGACCATCACTAAGCTTTTGGAAGGCACCAAGCGAGGATTTAGGCACGGGCGTTCATGGGTGAAGACGTCCCGACCGACCCTCTCCTTGAGAAGAAGCAGCTGGAGCTTAAATCTACCCCCTTCCATAATTCACATGGTTAACGAATTCCTCCCAAGGTTCCTACTTATAGTGCTCCAGATATATCCCTCCAAAGGTCCCCCACGTCTGGAGGTTAATGCTCGGCTCCAGCTCTGATGCTGCAAGGAGGTGACAAAATGCAGCCTCCAGCATCTGTCATCAATGGACTAGGACTAAGCCGTGCCCAGCAGCTCACCAGCCACTGCCAGGGCAGAGTAGCTCCTAGGACCTGGTCCGCTTCCCTTGTGCGCAACCAGGGCGCGGCAACCCGGCTTGCCTCCAAGTTTCCCGGGACACTCTCCTTTCCTGACGGCCAGTGTTCGTCCCCAGCGTCCTAAGCCCCGTGGCTCTCCCACCCTTCCCTCCTCTCCTCTCCTCTACTGCGGTCCATTGCCTACAGGCAGAGTTCAAGTTCAGTCCCAGCTTTTGCTCTGGATTTAGAAAAAAGGAGAAAGGGTGGGAGAATTGGAGGGAGCCGGCTGGTCGGGCGAGGCCGAGGGGAGGCGGAGAGAGGTGGCCTCTGATTGGTTGGGGAGGGGGAGTGGAGGCACGGAGTTTCCCACAATGCCCCGGTGCAGTGCAGCCGCGGATGGATGCTGCGGGAAGGGGCTGCCATTTGCTGCCCCTGCCAGCGGCGCGCGGACCTGCCCGCGCTCCCGCCGCCTCCAGCGCCCTCAGCCCGGCCGGCCTCTGCAGCGGCACCGCCTCGGCTTCTTCCGCGGCCGCCGGAGCGGTCGCCATGAACCCCAGCTCCTCGGCGGGAGAGGAGAGAGGGGCGACGGGCGGCAGCAGCAGCAGCGGAAGCGGCGCCGGGAGCTGCTGCCTGGGCGCCGAGGGCGGCGCGGACCCGCGGGGTGCAGGGGCAGCGGCGGCTGCTGCCTTGGAGGAGCCCGCGGCCGCGGGACAGAAAGAGAAGGAAGAGGCGCTGGAGGAGAAGCTGAGGGACTTAACTTTCCGGAAGCAGGTCTCTTACAGGTAGGCGCGAGAGCTAGCGAGACAGGTGCCGCCCAGGGCGGGGGACACTTGCTCTAGCTCCAGAGAGACACTTCTGTAGAGTTGGGTCTCTCTCTCTCTCTCTCTCTCTCTCTCTCTCTCTCTCTCTCTCTCTCTCTCTCTCTCTCTCTCAGGGAAGAAGTGGGGTGCCCCAGCTTCTCCCTGTAACACCCAGGGAGGGGTGCACTTGTAATAGAAGAGAACCCTAAGGTCAGAACAAGATCAAAACCACATATGTGAGTGTATGGGGTGCAGACCTAGACATGCCCAGTTTAAAGAAGAGTCGCCAAAGTTGCCCCTAGGCTCGAGTCATCTCCAGCACTCCCCCTGCCTTGCAGAGTTCACTGGGTGAGCCTTGGGCACTAACCGGATGGCTAAGATCTGTTCTGACAGGCAGCAAAGAACAGCCTATACAGAAGAGAAATCCTTATGGGGGAAGTTCTTGTCTTGAAATCCTCTGTTAAAGACTAGTGAAGTATGTGTCTCTTTTTGTAGGTATGTAGGTATGTCAGTATGTGTTGGTGTTGTGTGCACGTGTGTTCTCTCCCTCAGTGTGTTCTGAAGCTGATGTGGGCAGCCTACTCCCAGGTTCACTCCCCCACCCTCAGTCCCAGTGCGGGCGCGAAGATATCACACTGGCACCTGAGGATGGATGAATCTGTGACACTAGGACAGTGTACAATGAACATCCACCCAGTTACGCTTTAAAAAGCCCCAATGTCAGAATCCAAACCAAAGTGAGGATTTAATAGGTTCCCTACACTCCTCTCCCATCCCCAGGCATAGGAGACTGTGGGCTCGGAGACTACCCTCACTGGTGATTCTTCAAAGTTGGGGCAATAAGCAGTGTACTGCCGAGTCTCAGAGTGATACTTGCAAAGGGGGTCAGGGAGAAAACATCTTTGTAGCCCTCCTCCTTTTGGGTTAGCAGTCCCTTCTAGAAAAATACCATCTAAAGTATTAAGCCTGTCACACCATGTGCTGTTATGTAAGCAAAAGCAGATGCCAGAGGTGTGTGGGTTGCGAGGGTGTGCTCTGTGTGTGGGGGCAGGTGTGTGAATCACTGGGATCCCCACAGGCATTGCCTGGACTGGAGGCCCTGTCATCAGGGCCTGTGCTCCATGTCTAAATGCCGGTTTCTGCTGATTCCTAAATGGTCTCCGTAGCCAGGTGGTTGCTGTTGCACCGGTTGCTTGCATTTTGTTCTTCATGCGCAGAGGGAGTTTCCCACCTGAGTTGTTCTCTTAGTTACTCACACAGATCGGATCCAAATGGATCTTTCTTTTTATATTTTCGGTTTCTAAAAATAGGCAGGTGGGGGGAGTGGGGTAGGTCTAGGGAGGTAGGCTAGGACACAGGCAGTTCTACTTACGATGGTCTGTCTGGCTCTTAGGGGAACAGGGACTATATTCAGCCTAATTTAGGAGCTGTAAGTTGAGGGGGTGTTATTATGTGGAATACATTGTGGGTCTTGGCTTCTGGGCTAAGAGAGGCTCCTGGGTCATTGGTATTCATGAGACTTCTCATTGGGTATGTCTGTGAAGCCAGAATTTGCAAGGGAAATCACTTCAGCTTGCCTCCTGGTAGGGGTCATTCTCTGAGCCTCTCTCCTGGTAAAGCATGGTGTTGGGTCTGCAGCTTTCTGGGCAGAGCGTTCCCACAGGCACGTGCAACTGTGTTCATACACAAACACAGACGTGGAAACAGGAACATTTTTTGCAAGAGGAGAACAGCACATGACGCTGACCAGTCTTGAAACCCACTGTGGTGGGTTTTATTTCTTGGATGCTATTTCTTCTCGAATAAAGCTGCATAGTTCGCAAGGCAGTGACACTTGGCACATACAGCACCTCAGGTGGCTGCTCAGATGGCTTGCAATCCCCAGGTGTAGAGCCTCCAGTCTCTGTGGGTGAGGATGGCTGTCACACTCCTCAGGTGATGCTTACACACCAATACCTGAGAGTTGCTGTCTCCAAGCTTCAGTCATTGACCCTTGAACTCATAAACTGTCCAGCCAAAGAAGCCAGGCAGTTTCAATGGCAGGAAGGGCAGTGGGTAGTGATCTCACCTGGCGCGTGTTAATCCCAGGTAATCTATGTATTGTGGTCACTGCTATTTATTTGTTTTTAGAGTCATAGCAAATGGTCTTCCTGTTTGCCTTGGTGGCCCTTTGTGCTGGACTCAGAGGTGGCACTGGACCTGATGGTCTTGATGAAAGGATTCTGGGCACAGCTTAGCATGGGGACTAGTGGGAGGTAGTGGAGAGGAGTCAGGAAGCCCCCAAGGAATAGATTCCATGCAGAAGTGTGTAGCTGGAGGAAGTGTGTAGCTGGAGTGTGTACAGCTTCCATGTAGGGGATCATTTGAGGTGGTAGAGTGGAGATCTGCAGGCAGGTGGAAATGTCTTGAAGAGCAAGAATATTTGTGGAATGAAAGTTGGTGTGAAGAAGGGGGCTTTGGAGGAGTGTGCATGTGTGTGTGTGTGTGTGAGTGCGTGTGTGTGTGTGTGTGAGTGTGCATGAGTGTGTGTGTGTAGGGGGGTCTCATCTGCTCCTCTTGTTGCTAAGGAACGTATAAGCTAGAGTTTAAAAATAAATGAAGAGTGGGTGGGCATATGCAGTGACTCCTGTCTTTTTAGGAACCAGAGCCCTTTACAAAAAAAAAAATCTTTAAATAACCATTTCTGGAGGCAGATTATTCATTTTGTTGACTTTTACTTTGTGAAGTCAAATAAACTCTTCTATATACCCCTAGATTTCCCCTCATTATCTTTTCTTCTATAT